AATACTAAAAGTGACATGATCGCATGTTTAGTCTCTTGAACTTGTTTTTATTACATAACAAATTTGTACCCTTTGATCTATTCCCCATCTCCCTTTTCCCCCAAATCCATGTAACTACTGTTCCACATCCATTTACATGAGTTTAACATTTCAGATGTCATAGAAAATTATTTGTGTGACACGTGGTTGGGGGTTAGGGTGGATGGTTTTAGGAGAGATGTTGCGGGTTCATCTATCTATCTGCCGATCTATTTTTGGAATAAGGTCTGTTGTACTCCGGCTGACTTAGGAAAGGCTGTTTAAGAGATTGGCTTTGAACATGGATCCTCCCGCCTCTGCAATGCTAGCATTACATAACACCTATTGTTATTATACAACCTGTCCTTCGGTGTCCACTCACTCCAGTTAGGGTTTATTTGCTGTCACAGTGGCAGGGCTCGTTCCTTCCTAAGGCTAAATGACCTTTCATTGTAACTACATAAACACATCTTTATTCATACACTGATAGGAACTACAGATGCTTCTGTGTTTTGGATGCCACGAATCATACCAAAGTGAGCATTTAGTACAGATGTCTCTTCTCGTCATTCATACATTCCTCTGTATATACCCCAGAGTAAGACTGTTGGGCCATAAACTAGTTCAAGTTATCATTTTGTTGAGGAAGCTCTACAGTGTTTTCCACGGTGACTTTACAAAATAAGACTCTCATTACATACAAAGATCCCGCTTCTTGACACCCCCACCAACATTTGCCACATTCCACGTTACTATGGTCATTCTAACATATGTGGCTTTGGTTTGCATTTCCCTGCTTATTAATAATACTCAGCGTGTTTCCATAGACATGCTTAGCTGTATGCATGTCATCTGAGAAAGTTCTACTCAAAGCCTTTACTAGATTATAAAGTACGGGGCTATACATATACAGTATGCGTATGCTTAATTAAACAGAAAATTCTACTATAATCACAACCTTGCAAAAAAGCCTAACAATTTTATACAAAGAATATTTCTGCAAGGACACCTGTCCAGCAATCTGTTCAAATTTAATAGGCATCAAGCCTTTCTGTTAATCCTTTGCGTTAAGCCAAAAATTATTTTAACAAAATAATTTACAAAATCATCCTTATTTTGCTGGAAGTTATATATATATATTTATATATATATATATATATATATATATATATACACACACACACACACACACACACACGCATGTAATAGCAATAAAAAAAAGTCATGAATTCGGAAGAGAGCAAGGCAGGTAATCTGGGAAGATTTGAGGGAGAAAGGGGGAGAAGTGATGTAATTATAATTTCAAAAACAGAAGAAACTACTTCTCCTAACCTCAACTTCTTTGAGTAGTTTACTGTGGCATAAGTATTCCCTCTGCAATGGTCTTTAAATTTCAAACAAATGTACTAATCTTTGGATAATTATATATACATTTAGGTTGGTGAGCACTAGAGACCTCCTTGTCTGTTTTTCTCTCTTCTCTCTTCTCTCCTCTCTTTCACTCTGCCTTCACTTTCACCTGCCCTTTCTAGTAATAACTGTGGGAATGAGTGAGCAGTATTATAAACTGATGATCTGTACTGATCCTTTGAAATTTTTTTTGCATATTCTGTTTGCTTTTATAACTCCTACTATGAAGTAGAAATAGATTTTATTTCCCAACCTCAAACCCCTATATAAGAAACATTGCTACTTTAAGAAGAGCAACTCTACATAAAGCCATTAGCCTGAAACACTTAAAAACACTCTAAAGATGATCACAATAAGCCTAGGTTCAAGTCAGTTCACTTCATGAATAGTATGGTTACTTCTTAAACACCAAGCATTAAGATGACCCAGTTCCCTACTGGAAGAAATTGAAGAGAATAACAAAAGTAAAAACAGTCTTTCCAAATGAAATATGAAAACTTCATGATTTCCTTGTTTTTAATTGCTGAGTGGTGTTCCATTGTGTAAATGTACCACAATTTCTGTATCCATTCTTTGGTTGAGGGACATCTGGGTTGTTTCCAGTTTCTGGCATTATGAATAAAGCTGCTGTGAACGTAGTTGAGCAAATGTCCTTGTTGTATGGTGGAGTATCTTTCAGGTATATGCCCAGGACTGGTATAGCTGGATCTTGAGGTAATGCTATTTCTAATTTTCTGAGAAAGCATCAGATTGATTTCCAAAGTGGTTGTACAAGTTTGCACTCCCACCAGCAATGGAGGAGTGTCCCCCTTTCTCCACATCCTCACCAGAACCCTTGCCCAGATGTAGCCAATGGGCAGCTCAGTTTTCATATAAGGGGAAACTGAGTCCATGTCTCTGACATGGATTCTGTTGCCCACTCTTTGATCACTTCCCCCTACTGGGGAGGCCTTGCCAGGCCACAGAGAAAGAGGATGCAGCCAGTCCTATGAGACCTGATAGGGATGAGGTCAGATGGTGGGGGAGGAGGGACCTCCCATTCTGAGGACTAGAGGAGGACTATGAAAAGGAGGGAAGAGGGAGAGAAGGTGGGACCAGGAGGAGATGAGAAATGGGGCTACAATTGGGATGTAAAGTGAATAAATTATAAAAATAAATTTAAATTAAATAAAAAGAATAAGAAAACAATAAGAAAGCCATGGAAAGAAGACAAAGTCATAATATCGAGCACTGGAGGTTTCTTTCCTGAGGGAGTATATTTTGTAACATATAACTTTTTACTGTACAACTATTACTCAGATATAAAGACATAGTAAAGACATTTTCAGATATGCAAGAGGCCTAAATATTAACTACAACATACCCAGACTAGCATGATATATGGAGGCTTACTGTTTTGAAAAGGAAAGGTAACCTGCTCGCCCTGCAAGTATATTGCTGTAATTCTAGCAATTCAGAGTCAGCAGCAGAAGAGGGAAGGGAAGGGGAAAAAAGGTAAAGTGAGAAGAAAAATACAGGTTTCAGAAAACAGCTAGGGCCACTGTAGGATGACAGTAAGTTATGTCCTGGACTGACAGCATTCAGCGAAACCAGAGGACAATCAGCTGACTTAAGAGCAAAAGAATGGAGGTTCCTGGAGAAAAATATCACAGAGAACAAGAGTGTTTGAAAACTATGTGATTGGAAGCCAGAATAATGCAAAGATACAATAATTAAAGGATTAAATATGGCGGTATAAATTAAAGTGATCCTTTCTTTAAGTATAAAGAAAAGACAATGAGAAGGACAAAGGGACAAAAATATATTAACTGATTCTCTCTGAATGAAACTCATTAGCAATGTACATTGTAGAATTCTCTGAGGAAAAGTAAAGATTTGATTATGGTTACATGAAGAAGATATAAATGCTATAAAGCCAGATGTAGCCCATGGCAGTTCAGTGTCCAAGTGGGTTCCATAGTAATGGGAAGAGGGACTGCCTCTGACATAAACTGATTGGCCTGCTCTTTAGTCACCTCCCCTTGAGGGGGGAGCAGCCTTACCAGGCCACAGAAGATGACTATGCAGCCACTCCTGATGTGATCTGATAGACTAAGATCAGAAGGAAGGAGAGGGGGACCTCCCCTATCAGTGGACTTGGAGAAGGGCATGCGTGAAGAAGGGGGATGGAAGGTGGAATTAGGAGGGGAGGAGGGAGGAGTTTATGGGGGGATACAAAGTAAATAAAGTGTAACTAATAAAAGTTAAAAAAGAAAGAAAGAAATGCTATAAAGCTTATAAAAGGTGATGAGGCCACCAAGGCAAGGCCAGAGTAGATTGCATAGACTGGTACTGGCAGCTTACACAGTGGGGAGCAGAGAGAGGCTACTGAAAAATCTAAATGTGTCATCACACTAAGTTAAAAGAATAATTGTGCAGAAACTAAGCTGCTCATGTACTTTGAAACTTTAACAATGGAAATTAAAATAAACAAGCCAAAGAAAGAATAAATTCAGAGTAATTATGCATGGGAGTAGGGACTGGATCTCAAACAGTCACAAGAGATTATTTTAAAATTAGCTTTTTAACAATGAGTTTTCTTATAACAACACGCAGGACTATTTTAATAAAAACAAATTCAGGCAGTAAGAAAGATCAGCTCAAATTAGTAAAAGCTCAAATTCTTTTGTTCACTTAAAGCAAGAGTTCCCTGTCGTGAAGCTGTAACTACATCACCTGAAGTTACTATTAACTACTACTGTTGAATATCACCCCATCTCTTCCAAGGACAGAGTTGAAGATTACAGTGCACATGATATCATAAAGGGTAAAGGATGTATATGGAGATCACAGATTGAGTCTTTAACATTTACTGAGTTGCAATGACTGGGGTTTATATAAGCTCATTTGGTGTTGACTGTGAAGAAGTCAATAGAAAGGAAACTACATGGCTTACCTCCTAATCTCAAGATTTTTAGCAGCTGGAATCAGATGTTATCAGACAGAAATATTTAACATGAGCATCTGGGACTTATTCATATCAACTGCTTCTCTTTAAGAAGTGTATTCTTTATTTTAAATATTCACCATCTTCTAAAGGCTGTTTCAGAGGGAGACATTCCTTTCCTATTCCTATCAACCCTGCACTTGAAGTCCCAGCCAGTTCTAGGAAATGAAAAAGTAACTCCCTTCCCAACATGTCTTAATTCCATATGTAAAGACTTCAGGACAGTCCCCCCAGGACGCTGGGCAAGTCTTGCCTGAACCCTCAAAGCCTACTTCCAGATGTGAGCCCCAAGGTAGACAGACTACCAGACCCACGCTTCCAACCTCGTTCCAGATGACAGCCTGAAGGAAGATGAGCATAGCTGAGGTCTAATTCTGATTCCAGATGTGGGCCAAAGGGCAAAGGAATAAATTGCAACATCTTTCCTACCATGTGTAATGCCCTAAGCAAGGAGGGCTACTCATGCCTCTCCAACAGCACTCCATATTGTCCCCAGAGAGCTGTCTCCAGAGATCGAAGTGTCACTGCCCTGTCACTCGCCATTTTTATTCTCCATTTACAACCCCAAAGACCTGAGGCTCCTCACCTGGGTCAAGGTGCTTAGCTCCGGGCACATTTTGCAGATGAGGTTATTTTGAAGGTCTAGAGTCCTCAGACCAGGCAGCTTTCCAAGTGTCGAGGGCATCTTCTTTATCTTCTTCCCAATCAAAGTAATGATCTTAGTGTTTTTGCCACCCTTCAGTGCTGTTACCAACAACCTCTCAGTCATGATTTTTGATGGTGACATTATGGAGGTGTGTCTCTCATTCATATCCTTAGCACATCTAATGGCAGAAGAGTTGTGTCACAGAAGCAACACCACTCCCATTATGATGAAGATAGGAGGTGTAGATGATTTTCTAGGTAGAGGGAGGAAACAAGAAACAGCAGGTTGGGCCAGAAAGCATACAGGACAGGCTTGTATACCCAGGCTTCTCCATGTCAGGCACCTGGACATTATCAAATACTGAGATCACATGAGGACACTGGGCCAGCTTTGGGAGTTTTCCACCAGTTTGAGAGGAGGGATGCTAAGTATTTGTGAAGGAGAAAAAAAAAAAAAAGTAGTGTAGAGTGGACCGAAAGATTTTCTAACACCTTGGAGTTCATAACAGCATTTTATAAAAGGATGGAAAAACTCATTAATCATACTTGGAGTGGGGGAGACATCAGCTCAGTCCAAAAACTAATAAAGGAGAAATGAATCAAGCATTTATTACAATATTCCAATATTCAAATAGCTCACGATTTTCATTCATACCGAAATTGAAGCTAATAAATGAACTTTAACAAGCCCTAGAACATTCATCATTTCTCCATGTTCTAATGAAATAAAGACCCTATGCAAAAATCATGATTGCTAGATTGGTAGGAATGAGGTTAATAACGCATTAATCAATTTTAGCCACTTAAAACTGAAGGCATCATGTGGGATGAAAGTACCTGATGGGGTGCAGCAAGGAGTATAGATGAAATGCTCATGCATAAAGCCAAAGCTGCATCTAACAGTGGCTTTGTGGTTTAACCAACACACACAGAAAAGGGAGGCACAGAGAGCGAGCTGAAGTTAGCCTCAGGGAATCATTCAACAAAGCCTACAGCACCGGAAGCTCTAGAGCAGTTCTCAACCTTCCTAATGCTGTGACCTTTTAATACAGTTCCTCATGTTGGGGAGTCCCCCAGCCATAAAATTATTTTCAGTGCCACGTCACAGCTGTAATTCTAATACTGATGTGAATCTTAATGTAAATAGAGCATTGTCAAGGTGGTGCTGCTTTACTGGTTGAGAACTGCTCTAAAGCAGGAAAATGAAATAGAAGTTCCAGCGTTTGCATAATTAAAAGTGGGAACTATTCTGAAAATGGCCATTAAATAATAGCCAAACACAACGTCTGCACCTGGACAGAATCTTGATTTGAAGAAAACCAGGGATCAATCAGCCAGAGAAATGTGAGCGGAGCCTTATGATAGTAATCCCTGATTCTCTTGTGTATAAAACGATGCGGTGTTAACAACAGGATGTATTTCACATGTAGCCAACTCTTAGAAATGTATACTGAAACTGGAGAAAGTAGAGAAAGAAGCAAGGAGGACACAATGTCGATCGATAATTGCTGATGCTGAGTAACAGCCACTCAGGGGTTCTTAATACTAATCTCATGGCTTTGGGGGTTTGTTCAAAATGGTAGAAGGAAGAGGAGGCTGTAGCCGGTCACCTTTGATCATGTGGACCTAGCTATGAGGAGGTCTGGAGGCACTCTTTGGTTAGATAGACATGTTCCAAACTTAGATTATGGTTTACAGATATTTAAACACTATGATACTCTGCCCTCAAAGAAACTACAATCCAATTGTTAAAAAAAAAATCATGATAACAATGTAAATTTATCTTGTGTAGTAGCTAGTTACTATGGGTAAAAAGAAGAACAGGAAAGACAAGTAAGTGGGGGGGTTGTTTATAATTTTAAATCTGGGCAATAGGGAAAAGCCTCACTGTGAGATGCTATTGAGGCAGGAAGTTTCCAACATGAGAACAGCGGGCACCACAGTTCTGAAACAGGACACCAACCTTACAGCAGTATAACGAATGTCACCACCGTAATAGCAAGACAAGCTAGTCACTAGTGGCTTCCAGGTGTGCGTATACAGAAAACCATTCCCAGCTACCTAAGCGCTGCCTTTTTTCTTTCAACCTTAGTTTTATAAGAAAAATTGCTAAGACTCTACCCAAAATGTCTGCAGTGCTTTGTTTGTAAAAAGCTTTACTCTTAGGGCTGGACAGAAAGTTCAGAGGTCAGGACCCGAGTTTAGGTCAGGAGCCAGGATTGGTGTCCCAAACCCAGGTCCTGCAGCTCACAGTCAACTGTAACTTCAGCTTCATATAATCCAACATGCTATTCTGAACACTTGCACTTATGTGTGCGTAGCGACACACAGACGAACAGACACACACTTAAAAACAATGAAAATTGAAACTTGGGAAAAATCATACTCTGGCTTCTCCTGAGATTGTATAAATCTTTCCTCTGGAGTCAGGCTGGTTAGAGTACTCAGTGCACAGTATGAGGACCAAAGTTCAGATCTCCAGAAGCCAATAAACTCAGGGTACACTTGGTGGCTCACCTGGAAACCCAACTCTGCAAAGGCAGAGACTAAGAATCCCCTGGGCAAACTGGCTAGCTAAAGAAGCCATGTAAACCCTGCTTCAGTGAATGAGGTAGAGAGAAGAAAGACTCCCAAAGGCAGCCTGGGCCTCTACACACACACACACACACACACACACACACACACACACACACACACA